TGAACATGGGACAGGGAGGGGAGTATTCTGATTAGCCAGAGCTGGGTCACCTTCCTTGCTTGGGGCAACGGGGAAACAGAGTGGAACAACCTGATGCTAGTCCCATGCTAAGGGTTCCGCATAATAAAGAAGGATTCCATTAAAAAAGGGAAATAGCGTACTAGATAGACAAAAACAATAGTCTTCTACTCTGCTTGGTTTTAAAGTGTGACTTTGCTCAATTATTCTTTGATATCAAATTTAGGTGTTTTTTAATATTGCTCTAGTTTTAAACATTAAAATTATTTCTCCTCTTTTTATAGAAAGCATCTACTTATAAATATTGAAATGACTTTACCTTTACTCAATTGCTACTGCTTTACCTCATTTACTGGATCTTTAATCAATTCCAGATTATAGCCATTATATTGTATTCATTCTTCCTTTCTTGAGGCCAGGAATTTTATACGAAAATTTTCCTAGGTTTATAACACAACAAAAATGTTACAAATTGTCCCAAAAACTGTGTCTAAAAAAAAAAAAAAAAAAAAAAAAAAAGTATATCTTCTTCTTCCTGTTTCAGTCAGGGTTTTAAGTGGCTTAAGTGAAAAAGGAATTAAAGACTGGTAGGTAGCTCACAGATGCTCTAAGAGGGCTTGAGAACAAGGCTTGGATGCTGGGCAGTCAGGAACAATGTCCAATTCCTCTTCAGGAGCGACCACAACCAAAGCACCCCATGGTCAGCATCTGTACCATGACTTGCACAAATGCTGCCCAGCTCACTTGGGTATTCTCAGAATCAGATGCCAGAAACTCCGGCATCAATGATCCTAAAGAGCCCCAACATCTTTGTTGCCACCCTTGCTTAAGGATAAATTCTACATGCCTCCTTTCTCCCATTGCTCACTTCTGAGTTAAAGCCACATGAAAATGCATATGACTGGTAGAATCCAGGACACACAACTATGACCCCAAGGAAGCTGGGAATTGGTAGAATCCAGGATGCACACCTATGACCCCAAGGGAAGCAAGTTTCCTGCTGCAACTCAGGAAAGAGGGACTCCTATGACAGGAAATTTTCCAAGCATTAAAAGAGCATTCAAGGAATGCTGAGTAATCAGGAGTGTCCACAATAATAAGTGTCTAAAGGAGAGATTTCTCTCTGTTTGTTAGTGCTCCCACTACCTTATAGCTGCAGAAAATACTCAGAAGATCAACTGAAAGGTGGAAGTGCTGATACCTATCAAGTACTGCAGAGTGCGCTACTTCATGGAGGAATATGTTACTGATACCAGAATAATGCAATTGTTTCTTATTTCTCCATATCCCAGATTCAGTAGGACTTAACCCAGAATCCCAACTTTAAGCCAGTAAGGGTACTCATATACATGAAAAATACTTTGCACAAATCATTTACCCGCACCGAAATTCAACCATAATGACAAAATCCGTTATATCTTAAAATCAGATTAATCTTTTGATTTTTTTAATAAGTAAAATAGTCTGACCAGTTGAGTTTCGAGGAATAATTGTGACTTTTACAGTTATTCTCATATTTGCAAAATAGTAGAATAATATGAACTTTCATTATGATCACTTCCATTCCTTTATATAAATGCCAAGCTTTACTCTTGTCTGCCAGGATACATACTTATTTCTCTCTGGACCTGTTGCCCATGCAAATAATAAAACTTATTTTCTTCACTTTTCTGTGTCAACAGCAGTTGTATAAATCATGTGAGTCTTTGAATCTCTCACTAAAATATAGAAGATTGACTTTATTTATCTGTTTTGTGTTAAACTGTTTTTAAATTTCTTTTTTGGTAGAATGTCTATATTGTTTTTGCTCACACTCCAGCCATGCAGACATGGTTCACACTGCCACCTGGTGTGGCTGGAACATACTTTCTTCAACTCTCTGGAAGCTACCAGAGCAAGGTCAACACATTGACCTGGCATTGCTGAGTCACACCTCAGGCTGACTTTTGTTCTTGAAGAATTTGCGGGTCTATGTAAAATGAGGAGAGAGGTTTGAATCAACAGCACACCCAAATTACTTTATAGAGGAAGGGGAAATCATAAGTCTTTAGCATTTTAATTCAGCAAATATTTACTTAGGGCTCATCAAACTTAAGGACTGTGCTTTGTGCCATTGGTGACACAAGAATGAGGAAGGAACAATCCCTGCCCCAGAGTATCTAGTAATTAAAGGCAGAATATAACATGAGCTAAGCATGCAATGTGCTTGACTTCTTAGGGAAAGTGGCATTTGGGATAGACCTCAAAGGAAGTTTGGAACTTTGTGGGCAGAGATAAGGGAATTGAGGAGGAGCGGGAAAAATATATACCAATAATAATAAATTAAAACCTCTAGTTTAAAAAAGAGTCTTATTTTATTTTTCTCATTATTTTATCAGCAAAGTGTACAAGAGAAAATTTATAATTTTCACGAGTCATATGTTATTAGGATTTGATTATTAGAAAGGTGAAAGATATTTAATTTGCAATACTAACAATTTTCTTTTAAAAAGTAAATCCTAAATGATGAAGTTTAATAGCAATTCTGCTACTAAGTTTTCTTCAAATCTTTTTTGCCTCAAAAAAAAAACAAAAGACTAAAAAGCTCACCCAAATATATTACAAAGTTTTATTAAGATAGGATTATGTATAGTATTTATAGTATCATTATCACCTAATTCTTATTATATTAATATATATTAAATATTCACAGGACATAAAAGAATTAATAGTTGTTCGCTTTTCAAGCTTTTTATAAAAAATGTTCAGATAATCTGTGTGACTCCTGAATCTTAGAAATTCAGCAAATCAGCATCATCCTCTCTTTTATTCTTATGGTTAAATTAATGCTACATTTGGTTAAATATTGTACATTTTTCTATCTTCAGTGATGATTTCAGTTATTTAAATCCTGGTCTAGATGGGGCTATCATGTACTCTTGAGTTTAAATTTTGATTTTATCAAATATGTTCCTGGCATATTTTTCTTAGATTTCAGGGTATTTACATAAATTTTATAAATGTTCAATGTGGTAAGAAAGCAATAACCTTTAAATTTTTATTAGAATAGTATTTGAATACATACTGCTGTAGTCTGAAAGTTTGTCTCCCCAAAATATATATTTTGAAATCTTAATGCCCAAGGTGATGGTATTAGCAGGTGGGGTCTTTGGAAAGTGATAAGGTCATAAGGATGGAGCCCTCAAGAAGGGGATTAGTGCCCTATCAAAGAGACCTGAGGGAGCTTGGCTGCCCTTTCCACCATGTGAGCTGAAAGGAATTATCTGTGAATCAGAAAGCCCTTACCAGACACTGAATCCAGCAGTACCTTGGACTTCCCAACCTCCAGAACTGGGAGTAACAAATTTCTGTTGTTTATAAGCTGTTGAGTTTATATTTGGTTAAAATAGCCTGGATGGACTAAAACAGATACACATTCATCTTGGGAAAATAATGATTTATGTAAGTTGAATAATTACCTATGCAAAATGATTTTTAAATATAAAACTTGATCAACCCATTACTTTATTATTTATTTATTTTTGAGATGAGGTCTCGCTCTGTCACCCAGGCTGGAGTGCAGTGATGCCATCATGGCTCACTATAGCCTCAACTTCACAGGCTCCAGGGATCCTTCTGCCTCAGCTACCCAAGTAACAGAGACTACAGGCACATGTCATAATGCCCGGCTAATTTTTGTATTTTTTTTTTTGTACAGACCGGGTTTCACTGTGTTGCCCAGGTTGGTCTCAAACTCCTTGGCTCAAGCTATCTGTCAACACTGGCCTCCTAAAGTGCTAGGATTACAGGTGGAGTCACAAGCCATAACTTCTAAAAACATTTGCTTTTTTATATTAACGAAATCTATTTAGTGTTAAGGGGACATGATCAAGCTTGTTTTATATAGCATTAAGATTCTTTATCTTTGTATCTTGATGAATAAAAGCGACAGGAGGAATGCAAAATCTCATTTTTAAATGTCATTTCTCTTTTGGTGCACTTCTAAAATATGAATAACCATTATTTAATTTGGTTTCGTGTATTTGCTTTTTTCCTTATTAGTAAAAATTCTAAAGGGCAAACAACATTGTATAAAATAATACTTAAATTTAGAGATACATGTACAATAGTATCACAATATAAAATAAGTTAATATAATGAACAAATTTCCACCATAAGAGCAGCAAAAAATAATAATAAACAGTTAATAATTGCATCAAAATTCTCCATGTATTTTCAAACCAAATTTTTATTGTGAAAGTGTTCTTCTGGTCCTATGGTTTAATTATGCAGAACTTTGCAACAACGATTATAGTAGTAAAATGTAAAATGGGCTAGCATATTGCTTGATGTATAGCAAGTACCCAAATACTTTTTGGACTAAGTACCCAAAAAAATGTAAGGATCTATCCTCTGCCCTTTCTCTGGAATTACCTCTGTTGTTCCTATAGTATTTTATTATTTTCTTGGAAGAAACTCAAACTTAAATTGCTCACTAAAGATTCACATGTGGCATGACTGGAGGGTCTATGAGGTACATCACCAACAGTAACAGAGCTAAAACTTGTAAAGCAGGCTGGGTGCAGTGGCTCACGCCAGTAATCCCAGCACTTTGGGAGGCTGAGATAGGGCAGATCACTTGAGGTCAGGAGCCAAACATCATCTCAAAAAAAAAAGAAAGAAAGACTTTCCAAGGGCATAGGGCCAAGTTGAAAACAGAAAGGAAATTTTGAGAATTGCTCTTAGTGCACTCTGTTGTGTGGCTTGTGCCCATATTCTGGTAAATGAATCCTAAATGAGAACAAATGTAAGCCCTGAGAATCAGTTAGGGTAACATTAGTTAGCAGCCGTAACAAATAGACCTCAAATTGTCAGCAACTTGTCAGAGTAGAAATGTAATGTTTTAAATTGTAAAATACACATAACACAAGGACACAAGGATATGATTTATCATTTTAATTATTTTTAAATATACAGAAAATGTTTTTTTTTTAAGATGGAATCTCGCTCTGTCGCCCAGGCTGGAGTGCAGTGGCATAATCTCAGCTCACTGCAACCTCCGCCTTCTGGGTTCAAGCAATTCTCCTGCCTTAGCCTCCTGAGTAGCAGGGACCACAGGTGCACACTACCACACCCAGCTAATTTTTTGTATTTTAGTAGAGACGGGGTTTCACTATGTTGCCCAGTCCGGTCACAAACTCCTGAACTCAGGCAATCTGCCTGCCTCAGCCTCCCAAAGTGCTGGGATTATAGGCATGAGCCACTGCGCCAGCCCAGAAAATGTATTTCTTGCTCCCAGAACAGTCCAGAATGGATGTTACTGGCTCCTTCTGTCCTGTGTTCTGACATTCCTTGAGGTATTAGAGCTGGCAGAAGAGAAAAGAGAGAATGTGAAGGAGACACACCCCACTTCTTAAACTCTACGGCCCGGAAACGAGACACATCAGCTCTGTTTACATCGGGGTGAGTGAGTCCTGTGACTCCACCAAATGCAAAGGTGGAGTACAGGGGCTCAGAATTTTTTTAGTGTGTGTGGCTACTTCTTGGCATTCATTCTACATAGTGGAATTTTAGCAAACAGCTAGCCATCTCTGCAAAAAGCTTCTTCCCTAAATTGTCTCTGCTTACTGGCAACACCAGGAAGCATGACTTTGGAGTCCAGGTAGAAATATAAGACAAAAGACATAAAAAGATCCTTTCTACTTCAGTAGAGAACCTGTCGGTGCTCTGAAATCTTTATCACACCAGTGCTACTACCAGAGCCTGCATAAACAGAGTGGAACACTAGCAATCTTGCCGACCAGAGGTGCCAATATATTCAGCAAAGATATCTATCAGACCTTCCACTTCCATGCAAGACTTCCAGCACTGCTACCTTTAGTAGACGAGAGAGAACAGAGGCACTTTTGGTGAGTGGAAGGTGACAGCATCTTTGACAGGCACCAACAGTCTCTGTAGGTATCTGAGGTCAGCAGCAGGTCATCTAAGAAGAGGGCAATCCTGAAGGAGAGGAAAAATATAATGCTCTGTGTGATTGTTCATTTATATGAACCCCTATGATTAACAGGAATTAGTTAGTAGTAAGGCTGTGATCATTAATTTTATGTGTCAACTTGACTGGGACACGGAGCACCCTGATATTTGGTTAAACATTATTCTGGGTGAATCTGTGAGGGTTTCTGGAAGAGTTAACATTTGAGTCAGCAGACTTAGTCTCAGATTGCCCCTCCCAGTGTGGGTGGGCCTTATCTGATCTTTCGGAAGCCTGAATAGAACAAAAGAGAGAATTCATTCTGTCTGCCTGTTTTCAAGCTGGAACATCAGTCTTGTCCTGTACTTGGACTGGACACCACAAGATCTCCTGGATCTCCAGCTTGCAGATGACAGATTGTAAAGTTTCTCAGCCTCCATAATTGCATGAGCCAATGAGCCAACTCTTTATACACACACACACACACACACACACACACACACACACACATACAGTTTCTCTAGAGAACAAAGGCTTTGTTGTCAAACTAGTGGGAATCAAATAAAAGAAATATTATTGAGACCTTGGGTTTACTCCAAAGCTGCTATCAGCCTGAAACTGCAATTCTGCAAAACCATTTCCCTGGGAGAAATACCAACGTCTGAGTAATGGAATCACATGTGGGAAGTATCTGAACTTACAGACTTAGGAGCCACAGTAAGCCCTGGAACCCAGTTCCCACCTTCAATTACAGCAGCTTTGAGGCAGGCAATGAACATCTGCAAAGCTATGCTCTGGTTTGAATGTGTCCCTGAAGTTCAAATGTTGAAAACTTAATCTCCCAATGCAGCAGTGTTTCGAGGTGGGGCCTATTAAGAAGTGATTAAGTCATGATGGCTCTGCCCTCAAGAATGGATTGATGTTGTTATTGCAGATGTGGATTAGTCATCAAGAGAGTAGGCTTGTTACACAGGTGAGTTTGGCCCCCTCTTGCTCTCCTTCACTCTCTTGCCTTGTCACTTTCCACCATGGGCTAATTCCAGCAAGAAGGCTTTTACCAAATGCCAGCCTCTCAATCTCAGACTTCCCAGCCTCCAGAACTGTAAGAAATAAATTTGTTTTCTTTAAAAAATATCCAGGCTGTGGTATTCTGTTGCAGCAACACAAAAAGGACTAAGATAAGCTATGGAGGGAAAAGATGAAACACAAAATGGCTCTCAGGATCACACACCCAACATGAAAGAATTAGAATATGGTGTTACTTAGAAGAGGAGGTGAAAAGCTGAACTTCAGCAGGGTGGATTTGCTGGCAACTGAAAAGAACAGAAGAAACTGGAATGAAGAGAGGATGAGACTTGAAAAGCCCAGAACCCTGGAGACTTCCAACGTGCACAGGTGTCAGAACTGCACTCTACAGTCTGAAGTCAGGAAAAGTGTCTTTGGGGTTTAGGTAGGAAATTGACTTCAACCTCCAAGGAACCAGCTATGAAGCTTGGAGTGTCTAGAGCAGAGCTATAGAGAGGCCTGATTGTGATAGCGTGAGTAAGGCTGAAGCTTAGGGCCAGAGAGAAAACTGCTCTTACTAGAAGCTAGGACCCTGATGGACCTAGGGCAAAGTGGTTCTGTGGCCAGAAGCATCAATATCACCTGGGAACTTGTTCGAAATGCACATTCTTGGGCCCAACTTCAAGCCTACTTAAACAGAAACTCCCAAAGTGAAACCTAGCAACCTATGTCCTTACTAGGTAAGGAAAGAAAAAAGGTTCATCTAGGGAACGTGAGCTCTTTCAAATTATTAGGCCCAGAGAGGCATTGAAATGAGACAGCAATCACACCCTACTCCCTTCTTTGAGCTATATATTCGTCTATTGAAACTACCTGCTATTACTTGCTATAAATTAACCTAATGCCACACCGGACACTATAACCAACACCCTATAGTTTAAAATGTCTAGCCAATCACTAATCAATGTTATTTCTGTAAACCAATGAGAATTCCTGGCAGATGACTTTGTATCAGCCCACTCCCTGCCCCCTCTTTCTGCCTTCAAAAATCTACTTGTAACTGCTACTAACTGGAGTGTATATTCAGGACAACTTGAATCTGTGCTCCCCGGTTGCAATCCTCAAATTTGGCCCAAATTAACTCGCTACTTATATTAATTCTGCTTCAGCTTCTTCCTTTTAGGTCAACACAGGTTATTTTGATGCACACTAAGGAACATAGGAGACCCAAGCAATGTTGGGTGGGGGGAAGTTTACATAGGGAGGAAAATGGAGTGAAACGCATGGGTATAAGAATAACCCATTCTCTGAAGGTAGAGGCTGAAAGCACGTTCTCAAAGGGACCATTGCTCAGACCTGTCCATAAAACTAACTTCTATCAACTCCAGGCTATAGTAAGACTAGTTTAGTTTGGCACCTATACCAAACAAGTAAGCTGATTCCCAAATTACAAACTGGAGTCAGTACTTACCACCTCAGAAGAGAACTCAGGAAACTGAAAATGGTGAATAATTACTATGAGAGTTTTTTAACATTTCAGGAAGTTTTGAAACTTGTACAAATTGACTGGTTTTTATAATCGAATCTATTTATCATGATTTATTTACATTTTGTTTTTAAATCTTAAAATGAAGAAACAGTCTGTTCTTTTTAAGGAGTAAAGGAAAAAACAGAGAGTCTGGGGAAAGAACATCCTACTATATGAACAGTCTGAGAAAAAGAAGAATTCTCAATAAGAGTGATGGGCAGATATTTTTAGAAGAAAGCAAGTTAATTCTATGAAGACTCAAGACTGGAAAGGGACTTCCTTCTAAAAGATCTGTTCAACAGAAGGCTGCGCTTCTGCAACATAAAATAGCACATTTCTTCATCAGCGTTAAACATAAAGATTTATGTAAAATAGCACATTTCTTCATCAGCGTTAAACATAAAGATTTATGTAAAATAGCTCATTTTTTCATCCGAGTTAAACATAAAGATTTATGTAAAATAGCACATTTCTCCATCAGAGTTAAACATAAAGATTTATATAAAATAGCACATTTCTTCATCAGAGTTTAACATAACGATTTACAAATAAAAATGGACAAATGGATCACATCAAGTTAAAACGTTTCTGCAAAGTAAAGGAAACAATCAACAAAGTGAAGAGAAAGCCCACAGAATGGAAGAAAATCTTTGCAAACTAACCAGAATTAATCTCTGACATGAGATTAATAATCAGAATGTATAAGGAGCTCAAACAACCCTATAGGAAAAAATCTAATAATCTAATCAAAACTGGGAAAAAGATTTTAATAGACATCTCTCAAAAGAAGACATACAGATGGCAAACAGGTATATGAAAAGGTGCTCAACATCACTGATCAGAGAGATGCAAATCAAAACCACAAAGAGATATCATCTCACTCCAGTTAAAATGGCTTATATCGAGAAGATAGACAGTAACAAATGCTGGTGAGGATGTGGAAAAAAGGGAAAGCTTGTACACTGTTGGTGGGAATGCAAATTAGTACAACTACTATGGAGAAGAGTTTGGAAGTTCCTCAAAAGAAACTAAAACTAGAGCTACCATATGATCCAGCAATCCCACTGCTGGGTATATACCCCAAATAAAAGAAATCATTATATCAAAGATATATCTGCACTCCCATGTTTCTGGCAGCACTGCTCACTATAGCTGAGATTGGGAAGCAAACTAAGTGTCCAAAAACAGATGAATGGCTAAGGGAAATGCAGTACATATACACAATGAAGTACTATTCAGCCATAAAAAGAATGAAATTCTATCATTTGCAACAACATGGATGGAACTGAAGATTATTATGCTAAGTGAAATAAGCCAGGCACAGAAAGACAAACTGCATGTTCTCACTTATCTGTGGGCTCTAAAAATCAAAACAATTGAACTCATGGACATAAAGAGTGGAAGGATAATTACCAGAGGCTCGGAAGGGTATTGGCGGGCTGGCGAGGGAGACGGGGACAATTAATGGGTACAAAAAAATAGAATGAATAAGACCTACTACTTGATAGAAGAACAGGATGACTGTGGTCAAAAATAACTTAACTGTACATTTAAAAATAACTAAAAGAGTTATTTGTTAACCAAGAGTCTCCATTAATCTGACTTAAAATAGACCCCAACTTATGGGCTTCAGGATGGAGACTATAACCTGGGATACCCAATCTCCTTTTACCTATCCTCCCACAGACTCTGAAATGAGAGGCACATTAAGACACATTCAGGCTGTGTATAGGGAGACTAATATTTCAACTCATATGGTAACTTATGTGAGATTGGAGGTACAGATGCTCCAGAAGGGCTGGGAGCATGGCAGCCACAGGATACATCTCAGAGCAGAAAACACATAACTGTTTCCCACTAAGCTAGTCCTGTCTACTCCTCTCCTGCCACCTCCCCATCCATTTCTTAAGTTCAATACATCTTCCGTAGCCTCCTCTAAATTGAGCTGACCTTGGAATTACAACATTTTCATTTTTCTGTAGGAAAATGCATTTCAAGTTAGAAACAATAGATCTAAGCTTTGGGATGTGTTTATAAACACAGTGGATTGATTGGCATGACCCCTCACAAACAAAAGGCAATTGTAAAACAATCAATTAAAATGGTGCTTTCAAAGACAGGAAACAAGTTCTTCCACAACACTTGAAATCTGCTTTGAGAGGCTAAATCTAGCCTCTCTCCTCTTTCTTCCACTTAAAAAAAAGGAAAAAAAGAAAGGTAAGAAAGAAGAATGAATGGAAGACCCTGATCTGCAAACTCACTCTCAGGAGCCCTAAAGATCCAAGAGTACAGCATCTGTATAGCACTCAAACTCAGTAATATTGTTCTCTGAAAAGCAAATTTATCCTGCTTCTCACAGCTAGTGCTAGATTGTTCTATCGGGAGAAGGAAATGCCAAGGGTAAGAAAGTTTTTATATGGCTAGAAGATGCTACTAGAGAGATTCAAGAATGAGTGTTTATAATTAGGAAGAGCAGAAGGTTGACGATGAGGGCCAAGAAATGAACTCCCTTCTGCAATAACAGAGCCCACGCTGTAGAATCCAGAGACTCAAAATACTCTGAATAAGCCCTTAATCCACAGCAAAGTGGTGAACTGCCTTATATGTAGACCACTGTGTCCATAACAACCCTGTGTTTTTGCCTAATTAACAGGGTCTTTCTCCTTCTGCTCTGCCTCAGTTTAATGGCTCTCAGAGTGTGAAAAGGTTGTAAATAGACTGTGTAGTCTAACTACAGAAGTTCTATTTGGGACGTGTTTTGTGAGCCACTAGGTCAAAATTAATTTACCACTATCTTTGCACACCTTCCTGCTTGAACTCGGAGTTCAAGTCACTTTTCTGACTTAGAAAAACCAGAGCATTGTTTCCAGTATGCCAATGTTAAAAAGTTCACAAGGAATGGAAAGCTCTGGGGGCTTTCACATCTCTTGTCTGTGGAGGTTAAGTTATTATGTCAGCCACTTGTACCCTGGAGGAACAAAGTCCAGCCTGGGAGGCTATAACAAAGGCAGGTATATTTGAATTGATGTGTAGGTAAGATGAAAAAGAAGGAAAGATAATCTGTGAGTCTGAAATCTAATAGAAAAGCAGCTATGGGGCTAGCTTGTAAAGAATCAAGTCCTTAAAACAGAACTAGCGTTTGACCCAGCAATCCCATAACTGGGTATATATCCAAAAGAAAAAAAATTGTTCCTCCAAAAAGACACCTGCACTCATATGATCATCAAAGCACTATTCACAATAGCAAAGACATGGAATCAATCTAGGTGTCCATCAATGTTGGGTTGAATAAAGAAAATGTGATACATATACACTATGGAATACTATATAGCCATAAAAAAGAATAAAATCATGTCAGCATGGTGGGCTCATGCCTGTAATCCCAGGACTTTGGGAGGCTGAGATGGGAGGATCACTTGAGGCCAGGAGTTCAAGATCAGCCTAGTCAACATAGCAAGATTCCATCTGTTAAAAAAAAAAAGAATGAAAATGTGTCCTTTGCAGCAACATGTATGGAGCTGGAAGCCATTATCCAAGGCAAATTAACAGAGGAACAGAAAACCAAATACTGTGTTTTCTTACTTGCAAGTGTGAGCAAAACATTGGGTGTTCATGGGCATAAAGATGCAACAATAGACACTGATGGACTACTGGCAGGATGGGGGAAAAGGGCTAAAAGACTATTGAGTACTAATGGTTACTATGCTCACTACCTGCATATGGGATAATTCATATCCCAAATCTCAACATCATGCAGTATACTCATATAACAAACCTGCATATGTACCTCATAAATCTAAAATTAAAGTTGAAATTGTATTTTTTAAAAATCAAATTATTAGGGAACATCATGGCAGCCTCTCTACCTAGATGTAGGCCCTAGTAAGGGCTCTGTCCTAAAATCTCCACTCCCACTCCCTGTACTTCTCTTTTCTTCTCTCCTCTCTCTCTCTCTCTCTCTCTCTGCACTTTCTCTCTCTCACTCTCTCTCTGCAATTCGAAGAAAGCAAACTCTTTGTCTAAATTCCTCCTTCATACAATGGAAGTAATAGACTAGACTGTAGTTGCTACTCTGGACAAGAGTCATCAGTGTTAAAGATCCCTAGAGTGAGGAATGCTCTCTTATAGGCCCAGTGAAACAAATAATAGGGTAAAGAGATAATGGGGTGAAGAAATAATAGGGTAAAGGATTTTTAGGTGAGTCATGGATGACCTTAAAAAGAAACAGGTTTCAAATCAGTGCCCTAACACACACTCAGCAAAAATAACATAGGTATCAACTCTTTCCACTAATATTATTATTAATATAGTAATAATAATTTCCACTAATAATCACATTAGTGGGAATTAATAGTTGCTTCCCAACAGGTTCCTAAAGTTATCTTAACTTCATGCCTAAATCTTTGGAAAGGTTGGACCCCAGATCTTAAGAATCCAAATTGCTTGTTCTTGCTACCTCACTTGCCTGCCTTACTTTAAAATTTTGCAAAGTGCTTTCACATAAATTACTTCTCGACAACTTTATAGGTGTAAATGAGGTATTAGTTAAAAGACTTAACAAACTGACCCCCAAATACAAGGACATTTTTTAAAAAGATGTTTTCTCATACTACGCAACTGGAAGGGGAATTATATTCCACGTGGTCATGCAGCCCAACATAGTGGGAAAGTGAAGGCGACTTGGAGAAAGCATACCTAATGTCTTAAATCCCAGTTCAGAAAGTGGTTCTCTTCACTTCCACTCACATTCGATGACCTCTGGCCTCACTTAATCGATAGGTAGGTAGAAAATGTAGTCTTGCTATGCAGCCGTGTGCTCAGTTTTAATTATTTTACTAAAGCAGGAGGGAACTGATATTGACAGAAAGAGAAGAGAGAGATAATAGATTTAGGTTTCCATCCTGGTTTAGAGGTAGATTTAGATTTTTTTATGCTCTAATGTTTTCTCAATTTTAAAGAGATGAAACTCAAGCATATAAAGAATGTACACCTGCCCCAAAGCTTCCTACCTGATAAGTGGTACCTTTGTGGACTCCAGCATAGACCTTTTGGTGTTTGGTGGGGCTTAGCTTAGGAGAGCTTTGAATCCTATTCAATACCATGAAAGGCTTTTGGATAGATGATGCAATCCCATGATATTTTAAGAAGATCGTTTACCAGCAGTGTGAAGAGTGACTTGTAGAGAGAAGAAATGAAGGTATACAATCAAGAAACAGTCCAAGCCAAATTCAGCAGTGGCTTAACCAAAAACATTAGAGATGGAGAGAAGGACACACTAGAGGAGGTTCAGAACTTGGGGCCCATGGAAGGGCCAAGACATGGGGGACTTCCATATTGTCAAACACAATGTCACTTCACTATCATTTTACTGAAGCCTCTGCTGGTTTTCCTCCCACTTCTCCAACACCTCCTTCTCAGTCTCCTTTGCTGGCTCCTTCATTGTTACCCAACCTCTAAACATAAGAGGACATCAGAGTTCAGTTCCAAATCATCTTCTCTATTCATTTTGGTCTCCCCAACTAGATTGTCTCATCTAGATATTTGGCTTTAAATTTCATCTGTAACAGTTGTCTACTGTCATAAGTTTACATAACAAACCACCCTAAACACAGTGACTTTAAACAATCAACATTAATTGAGTTCATGACTCTGTAGGTTGTGTGGGTGGATCTTAGATTCACACACCTGTTGGGGAATCAAATGGCTCTAGGCTGACCCAGGATGACCTTGACACAGATGACTGGAGCAACTTGGCTCTATTGTATGTGTCTTTAAATTTCCAGCAGGCTAGCCCAGGCGTATTTTCATGGTTGTAATAGAAAGCAAGAGCAAGCTAAGCCAAGCATATAAGTATTTTGAAACTTCTGCTTGCATCATTATTTGTTAACATTCTGTTGGTCATTAGCAGAGAAGCACTATGAATGAAGTTATATGAAACAGGATATAAATTCCTGGAGAGATATAGAATTGGAGCCATTTTTGCAATCCTCCACAATATCTCTATGCAAAAGGCCCTCATCTCTCTCCTGAACATCTAAAATACATCCCATTAACTTAAAATCTCAAATCTTTAACAAGTCCTGCAGAGTTGAGCCCCCACCTCCATCTGCAACCTCATCTTGTGCCACTTTCTCCTCAATCACTAAGCTCCAATCTTACTAGCCTTTGTTATTATCCAGATACAAGCCCTTTCTTACCTCAAGACAAATGGCATGCTGTCCCAACAGAACATCTTGAGTGTCAAAAACATGGACACCGATGCTATTCTTACCAGCTGCATGAACCTGGGCAAGCTACATAACCTCTCTGTGCTTCAGTTTCTCCATCTGAAAAATTAGGATAAAAACAGCACCTATGTTAATTTAATTATCAGTGAGCTAATTCCTATTCTCATTTTTCAGATACAGAAACTGAAGTGCAGAGAGGTTATGCAGCTTGCCCAGGTTCACACAGCTGTTAAGTATTTTTTCATATGTGGGATGGATTTGTTGGTTTGATATCAGTTTTTCCCATTAGACTCTTAGTTCCATGATGGCAGACTGTGTTTTGCTCATCACTCTATCCCTAGCACCAACAAAAATTTGCCTTGCCTATGATGGATGTTAAATATTTATTGAATGAATAAATAATTATGAAGGGTTCAAGCTGGAAAATAAGTTATTATGTGTTTGTGGGGGGTTAAAATTCTCTCTCTCTTTCCCTCCCTCTCTAGGAACCTTGAGAAAAGATATCAGTTCTAAATTCATAACATCCAGACCAGGTTCTGTCTCTTTCTCTCTATAGTTTTACAGGAGAATGGGAATTGCTCACTAAATGGTTTTTAATAAAAATCCTCCCTCCCTCAAAAGGAAGACGGAAAAGAGAAACTTGGAACCTAGTGGCAGGAGGGCACCAGAAGAGTGATTCAGTAACAATTATAGTGTTTGGGGTCACCAAAAGGCAATTCAGTTAAAAAATAAATATTAGAACCAAGTATGGATTTGCAGCTATTAGTAAGAATTTGTCCTTTATAATAAGCATGAAAAAAGTGGGGGGTAACAAACATAATTTACGCCAAAGAAACTTCTGGTGTTCTTCTTACTTCATTGATTGTATAAGTAGAAGTCTGGTTCTGCCAACATGAAAGTAAGTGAGACCCAGGTTATGCCATTTCTGTCTATAGAAAAAGAAACCTTATCCTGGAGGTAACAAAAGAAAGTCTGGAAACTCACCCAGATCCCAGTATCTATTCTTCAGATTGGAGAACCACAGTCTGGGGTACTTAGGCACCTTTGCCATCTTGGTTCTCATGTCCTCTAGCCTATCTGTTGCCAATATAAGTTGAAAGACTATATGTTTGTGTGTTAGGTATTTCAGTATTAATTCCTATTGTCCAAGGTGACAAGTGAGTAGATGGTCGAGCTAGATTATAATTACGATCTGATTCTAAGGTCAATACTTTGCCAGAAGGGCCACCTTGAAGTCTGACACTTTTGAGATTAGTTAAAACTAGACTAGCAATTTTTTTTTTTTTTAAAGACAGAGTTTCACTGTGTTGCCCAGGCAGGAGTGCTGTGGTGCCATCTCAGCTCACTGCAACTTCCACCTCCTGGGTTCAGGAGATTCTCCTGCCTCAGCCTTCTGAGTAGCTGGGACTACAGGCATGAGCCACCACACTGGGCTAATTTTTGTATTTTTAGTAGAGATGGGGTTTCGCCATGTTGGCCAGCCTAGTCTTGAACTCCTGACCTCTAGTGATCTGCCCATCTCATTTTCCCAAAGTGTTGGGATTACAGGGATGAGCCATGGAACCCGGCCCACACTAGCAATTTCTCAAAGAGTAGCCTGCAGACTCCTGCATCAGAATCACTGGCAGTGTGTATTAAAAACTCAGATTTTCTGACAGTACCCATGACGGAAGGAATCAAAAAAGAGAGGTCAGGAATCTTTATGTTTAAAAAGCACCTCCAAGTGATTCTGTTGCAGGGGATCTGTGGATGCAGATGATTTTTTTGCTTTTCATTTTTTATAGAGAAAGGGTATCAGTATGTTCCCCAGGCTGGTCTCGAACTCCTGGGCTCAAGCGATCCACCCACCCAAAGTGCTGGTATTACTGGCATGAGCCACCACACCTGGCCCAGAATTCTGGATTGTTCTTATGCAGACTTAAGCATGAGGACTCACGCCTAGGATACAAGAATTCTTGAAAGCCAGCAGCACACAGTATCAGCAAACTTCAGCCCTGCTCAACATTCTCTAACCAAATCTGCTCCAGGAGCCGCTTAGTAACCTGCAGTCGCTCAACAGAACCGAGCACGCGCAGTATTTAATCTCCATGGGCGCTGGGTGGGGCTCCCTAGGAGCCTGCCCCCTCGCAACCTGCGGAGCCAGGGGGCGAGGCTCTCCCAAGTAATTCCGGCTTCTCCTGACAGCGTCCGAACGCTCCGCCCCCAGATCTCGGACCAATCAAATGGCACATTGCTAAAGCAAAGGACCAATGCACAGGGCTGTCCTTAATTCCTCCCGGCAGTTTGAAACTGTCTGGTTGCTTCCTAGGTAGCGGCTGTACTTGCTGAGGCTGCTGCTGCGAGGCGGCTGGGAGTCGCAAAGTGAAGGAGAGTCGGGATTTGGTAGCCGTTGGCGACGGTGGGTAGCAGAGCTCCGAGCACACCTTGCGTCCCTGGCGGAAGTAGTGGAGTGAGATTTAAAGTTCTTTGGCGCGGCCTTCCTCCCCTGGGGCTCTGTCTCAGACACGAGTGATTCTGCCGTTGTGCCGGAAGATCCCAAAGGTTCCCTTCCGAAGCGTCTGGGAAGAGGGCAGGAGTGAGGGATGCTGACCAGTTACTGTCTCCAGAGACTCTGGTCATTTAAACGTAGGAAAAGAATAACCATGTATAAAGCTCTGTGTGCTTAAGTAAGATTTTTGTTATAACAGGCTGGGTCGGAAGATGATGAAAGAAAACTTACGGCATTTGCTTACCGCAATGGCTTGTCCCCTCTGCTTCCAGTCCCTGCCTTGGGAGGGGCTGGCGCACCCCCCTCCTTAAGTGCAGCTAGGCCTGGTGAAGGGCACAGGGGACCTCACCCTGCTGCTAGTTTGCATGTTAATTCACTCTTCCTTTGCCTCTTGGGGGTTCCATTTGAATTCCCATATCCCTGTTTTCCCGTCAGCCAGGTAATTACCAAGATGTTATTTTTATGTCTCTGGCAACAGAAAAGCACACAAAAGTTTTGATCTTGTTTTCTGATACCTTGGGTTAGAGACAACTGAAAATGTAGTGAACTAATGTACATCTGCCACCCATTAAAGCAATTTTCATTTTTCTTCTTTGTTTCGGAACCTAGAAACAGTAAGGAAAATGCTACTGTTCTAGAGTTTCAAATAACTCATACCTTGTTGGCATAAAGCAGGGCAGATGGAAGATAGCATATTTTCAAAAGTGCGGTGGGCTTTTTTGTATCTGCAGTGTCCATATTAAGAAACAATTTTTGAGGTCTGACTATACTTACCAGCTCATTTTTAAAATAATCAGCACCACCCCACTCCCCACTCCCGTTTCCTGCCTGGTCTTAAATCCTGAAGGAAGAAGTGAATAAAAATATAAATAAACCAAGTTATCACAGTGGTAGATTTGAAGTCAGTGAAGCAGCCATTCCTTGCTGCAGATACATGTGCTTATTTTATCCTTCCTAATTGGCTTAACTAAAGACAGTCATGCTGAGATTTAGTTTACTTAGCATGTGTATGCACAGTGATGCTCACTGGAAAAGGTTGAAATTTCCTTTACACAATCTAGTTCCAGCCTGTGTTTCCATTCTAATTTTGCACTTTTCCCTGTGTCTTTCTTTTCTGTTTCAATTTCCTCATCTCTGATTTATTTATTTATTTTTTTATTATATTGTTAAGTTCTGGGATGCATGTGCAGAATGTGCAGGTTTGTTACATAGGTATACACGTGCCATGGTGGTTTACTGCACCCATTAACCCATCATCTAAATTAGGTGTTTATTCTAATACTCTCCCTCCCCTACCCCATCCCCCCAACAACAGACCCCTGTGTATGATGTTCCCCTCCCTGTGTCCCTGTGTTCTCATTGTTCAGCTCCCACTTGTGAGTGAGAACATGTGGTCTTTGGTTTTCTGTTCCTGTGTTAGTTTGCTGAGAATGATGGTTTCTGCCTTCATCCATGTCCCTGCAAAGGACATGAACTCATTCTATTTTATGGCTGCATAGTATTCCATGGTGTATATGTGCCACATTTTCTTTATTCAGTCTATCACTGATGGGCATTTGGGTTGATTCCAAGTCTTTGCTATTGTGAACAGTGCTGCAATAAACATGTGTGCATGTGTCAATATAGTAGAATGATTTATAATCTTTTGGATATGTACCCAATAATGGGATTGCTGGGTCAAATGGTATTTCTGGTTCTAGGTCCTTGAGGAATTGCCACACTGTCTTCCACAATGGTTAAACCAAATTACACTTCCACCAACAGTATTAAAAGCATTCCTATTTCTCCACATCCTCTCCAGCATCTGTTGTTTCCTGACTTTTTAATGATCGCCATTCTAACTGGCATGAGATGGTATCTCAATGAGGTTTTGATTTGTATTTCTCTAATGACCAGTGATAATGAGCTTTGTTTCATATGTTTGTTGGCCGCATAAATGTCTTCTTTTGAGAAGTGTCTGTTCATATCCTTTGCCCACTTTTTGATGGGGTTCTTTTTTTCTTGTAAATTTGTTCAAGTTCTTTGTAGGTTCTGGATATTAGCCCTTTGTGAGATGGATAGATTGCAAATGTTTTCTCCAATTTTGTAGGTTGCCTGTTCACTTATGATCATTTCTTTTGATGTGCAGAAACTCTTTAGTTTAATTAGATCCCATTTGTCAATTTTGGCTTTTGTTGCCATTGCTTTTGTAAAGTATGAAAAAAGAATGAAAAGGAACAAAGAAAGCCTTCAAGAAATATGGGACTATGTTGAAAGACCAAACCTATGTTTGTTTGGTGTACCTGAAAGTGTCAAAGAGAATGGAACCAAGCTGGAAAACACTCTTCAGGATATTATCCAGGATAACTTCCCCAACCTAGCAAGACAGGCCAACATTCAAATTCAGGAAATACAGAGAACACCATAAAGATATCTTAAGAAGAGCAACCTCAAGTTGCATAATTGTCAGATTCACCAAAGATGAAATGAAGGAAAAAATGTTAAGGGCAGTCAGAGAGAAAGGTTGGGTTACCCACAAAGGGAAGCCCATCAGACTAATAATAGATCTTTCTGCAGAAACCCTGCAAGCCAGAAGAGAGTAGTGGCCAATATTCAACATTCCTAAAAGAATTTTCAACCCAGAATTTCATATACAGTTAAAGGAGAAATAAAATTCTTTACAGACAAGCAAATGTGGAGAGATTTTGTCACCACCAGGTCTGCCTCATAAGAGCTCCTGAAGGAGGCACTAAATATGGAAAGGAGAAACCAGTATCAGCCACTGCAAAAACATACCAAATTGCAAAGACCATCGACACGACACTATGAAGAAACTGCATCAACTAATGGGCAGAATAACCAGCTAGCATCATAATGATAGGATCAAATTCACACATAACTATATTACCCTTAAATGTAAATGGGCTGAATGCCCTAGTTAAAAGACATGGACTGGCAAATTAGATAAAGAATCAAGACCCATCAGTATGCTGTATTCAGGAGACCCATCTCATGTGCAAAGACACACTTAGGTTCCAAATAGGGGGTTGGAGGAAGATTTACCAAGCACATGGAAAGCAAAAAAAAAAAAGGGATTGCAATCCTAGTCTTTGATAAAACAGACTTTAAACCAACAAAGATCAAAAAAGACAGAGAAGGCTATTACATAATGGTAAAGGGATCAATGCAACAAGAAGAACTAACTATCCTAAATATATATGCACCCAATACAGAAGCACCCAGATTTATAAAGCAAGTTCTTACAGACTTACAAAGAGATATCTTATTTATTTTTCAGCCCACTGTGACTGAGACCTAAAATTGTTTTACTTTCCACTGAAATTGTTCAAGCAAATGTTTCAGCAACATCCAAATTGCCAAATTTTATCCAATCCTCATGGTTCTTTGGCATCTAACTAACTATGTTCTCAAAGTTGTTATGATCCTGCTCCCATACTTCTAATATTCTGACTTCCTTTGCTGACTTCTCTTCTTCTCTTGCCCTTTAGATGTTAGTGGTTCTGGCTTTAACCCTCTTCTCGTTCACAGTAGTAGTCCTTAACTGTATTAGGGCTGTGGTCCCCTCTGAACATATTGAAAGCTAAAGGTCTTCTTTAGCTTTTATGATAAAAATATTGCATACAAGTTGGGTGTATGGATACATAAGCATTTTTGATAAAAATATTGCATATAAGTTGGGTGTATGGATGTGATATGGTTAGTTTTATGTTCCCACCCAAATCTCATCTTGAATTGTAATCCCCATGTGTAGAGGGAGGGAAGTGATTGGATTATAAGGGCGATCCTCTTGCCTGCTTCCCCTTCTGCCATGATTGTAAGTTTCCTGACGCCTCCCCAGAGATGCAGAATGTGAGTCAATTAAAACGCTTTTCTTTATAAATTATCCAGTTTTGGGGCAGTTCTTTAGAGCAGTGTGAGAACACGCTAATACAGGACCTCAGACTAAAAACTTTTTCTCACACTTCTTTTTGTAGGTGATCTCATCTATTCCCTTTTTTCAGCAGTTCCTATTATGCCGATGATTCCTCAAACTGGATCTCTAACTTATACCTCCAATGCAGGGCTCCCACAATGCTTAACTCCAGGAAACACCATTCACAGTCCTTGTAGTGGGGTACTGTGTAGCCAGTGTGACCACAGACTGTATACCTGCAGCTTTACCCTGGTGCCTCAGAAGCAACCTCACACCCAACTCATCTGATATGGAACTCATTGTCCTTCCTCCCAGCCTGCTCATCTTCCTACCGTCCTTGCCTTGGTTAGTGGCACTATCCATCTAGTTACCCAAACCAGAGATCTAGAAGCCATCAACAGTTCTTTTTAACCCCTTGATCAATCATTGATCATTTTCTCTTACCATAGCACAGCTCTCCTGTAGTCATACCTTCCATCCCCTTCCCATTGATCATCCTAGATTTAGGTCACTTATTTCCTTAATTACTATCAAAGAGAACATTTATCTCTTGGACTATTGCACTCAGCTCTCAATTGATCTGTTTTTGTTTTTGTTTTTGATACAGAGTCTAGCTCTGTCACCCAGGCTGGAGTACAGTGGTGTGATCTTGGCTTACAGCAACCTCGGCCCACAGAATTCAAGCAATTCTCCTGCCTCAGCCTCCTGAGTAGCTGGGATTACAGGTGCCTGCCACCACGCCTGGCTAATTTTTTTGTATTTTTAGTAGAGACAGAGTTTTGCCATGTTGACCAGGCTGATCTCAAACTCCTGACCTCAGGTAAGCCACCTGCCTCAGCCTCCCAAAGTGCTAAGATTACAGGTGCCAGCAACTGCACCCGGCCTGATCTCTCTTTCTTCATATCCAAATTAACCCTCAATGCTGCTGGAATGATCTTTATCATGTAATTTTTAATAAATATTTTAATATGTAGAATTAAACACCCAGATTTTTAATATGACAAATCTTGACCTTCCATCTGGCTGCGCTTTACTTTTTGTTTCATCTTTAGCCAATCTCTGCTTTGCACCCATTGTTTTAACCTTACCAGACTGCTTGCTATTCCTGACATACGTGTCCGTGACTCTGTGTCTTTGCTTACATTACTCTACTGCCTAGAATATCTTCACCTCTGTTTATACCTTTTATCCATCTTTCAGGATGAGACCTGCTCATCTTTTAGGTCTCAACACCTGGGTCATCATTTCTAAAAGCTTTTTCTTCCTCCTTTCCTGCTTATTTACAGTCATGCAACTCTACCCCATGAAAAATAGCTACTCCTGCCTCTCTACTCTGTACCTCTGTTATTTTAGGGCCTATCAGCAGTTTAGTCATCAGTTGGTCACTTATATAATGTACAGGTCTGGCCCTATCTACATATTGTAAACTCCTTAAGAATAAGGACTTATTTTACATTCCTGACCAATGTCTTACATATTACATATTAAGATAGTTCAAATAGTCACTATTTATTTTTTAAATTATTTGGTTACTTGTTAATAAAGTACTTTTAATAATATTTTGCTCAGGGCTGTCAACAAATTTGCTATGCTTATATTTGATTCTGTTCTGTATAAGCTCACTTTTCTTAAAATAATATTTCCAAAAGGTAAGTTTCCCTAGAAGGAAATTTGCACAAATTGTTTGTTCTCTCTTGATTCAGTATCTTACAGGAAAGTACACAACACCCAGGTTGTCACACATTGCTTAAGGATAGTGATCACCATCTATTTTCCTCAACAGGCCCCACTGGGGATTTTCCCTCTCTTTTTCTTTAACCTTTCATGTATTTGTCTCATCTCCCTGACTACATTATAAACTTACCCATGTTGGAATTGGGTCTTTATTTTTTTTCACAGTGATTTTTGCCTATAGATACTCAATATGTTGAATGAATGATTTTAATATATCACATGAAGATTGTTTGCAGATTTGGAAACTGTTGCACTTATATATATGTAGAAAACATTTTATCTTAGTTTAAATGTCAAGGAAAAAAGCTAATGTTAGCTTCTTTTGTTTTAGAATATTTGTGCAGAATGTCATCAGATGAGGAGAAATACTCACTTCCAGTTGTACAAAATGACTCCCATCAAGGCAGTGTTGTCTCTTTGGATCTTCAGGTGGGAAAAAATTTCTAAATTCGTGATGACTTTTTTTATTTTAAACAAATGAATATAAGGGAAAACTAGGAATTTTTATTTACTTTTTTATTCCATTTATAAAGGAGTTTTCAATTTGTAATAATATCAAACTTTAGGAATTACTGTACCAATATTAGGAGTTACTTTACATTGTTTTAACTTGCCAGAAAATATTGATGAACTCTTCAAACACTCTGTACAAAGGCTTTGACCAACACAGTTAAGAAGCAAAACTGAAATGTTCAAGAAACTTTTTCTTTAAATTTTTTTCATTTTACCTACCTCTCGTGAATGCTACTTTCACTTCTAATGCAAATTAATACGGTATCAAACCATCCAGTTCTAGAGCTCAGGATTCCCTTGTGTTCTACTTGCTGAGGTCTAGTCTCTGTTGCCACAACATTCAGTACAGTCTGCTGCCCAGGACCTGGACATTGACAGATAAAATGAAATGGGTCAGTTGGCTATAGAAGGTGTGGTATTTACATGAAGTGTTTTAAATTTCTCTTATTTCTAAATATTTCATCATCAAAAGTATGGATTTAGATTTCTGGAGTAGATTTTAAATGAGAAAATAATGACATGGTGTATCATAAATTTTATAGTTATATTACTCAAGGGGAAAAGCTATTTATGCCTAAGCATAGGAAATTCTTATTGATTCTGTATTACATGAGAAAAGCTTTAGGAAAATATTTTATGAATCAAATTTGTTCCTTTAATTGAAATTATGGATCTTGAAATGGGGAGGGTATTGGGAAATATCTGAATATTTACTAGGATAAAAGTAGTCTGGAGTTGTGACATAGCTGTTGCACCCTAGCCTTTCCTTTTGATGGTACCTCTCCCATGTAGTCCTCTCTTCAGTTACCAGTACTTCCTCCACCCTTCATAGTTGTCTGATTAAAACTTCAAGATAGAACTGATTAACTCATTTATACTAAAATGTAAACACCTTGTGAGCACTCAGATTGTCATTTTGTCAAGAGACAAAGCTTTAAATCAAAAGAATAAATCTCTAGAGTGGAATTTTAGAGAGATGGAAGAACCTGCAAGAAATCATTTTGTGTTATTGATTACCCGCTTATAACGTAAGCGCAACTGAGGGTCTATTAGTAACCCTCAACTTATGATCCTGCTTGTTCTTGGGCTGAAGTTGAAAGCCTCTCCATATTCCCTGTAGACACAGTGTCATTACTTTGGGTTTCACTACCGAAAACATTTCAAAATATAAATACAAAAAATAATCTTAAAAATAACATTAAATATATATATTTTACATATGTAGTAAATATGTAAATCCAAATATTTAATACAAAAGCCCCTCATAAATCAATATTCCTCTTAAGGGACATTTTGTTGTGCAAATGCTTCACAAGCCAGAAGGTGGTAAATGCCGAGGGATAGGCAACATCCATAGTGCTTACACACTAAAGATTTTCTCGAACCACAGCTCCTGTCAGCCAAGTTGCCCTGACTATAATGGTTGAGGCATGGGTAGAGCAATATTTCACGGTCTTATCAGTTCAGCTCTTGCGGGTTGGAGAGGGGGACAAAATTACAAGTTTTGAATGTTACTCTAGAATTCTTTATCTCAACACAGGTTATGTTTGGCAGTTAAGAAAAGCAGTGTTATTTATTTTGATTCTTAATTTTAAATTCTTATTTTTAAATAACTCATTTGGCCTGTATCTACATATATGAAACCCTAAAACAGTGATTTAAGTAACTGATTTTTTAAAAATGCTTTTCTTGAAATAAGTTGAAATATATGATCATGGAATACTATTGACATATACTTATTTATTTCCCCTTTAAGCCATAGCAATTGTGGTAAAATACATGAAAAATGTTAATATGTATAAAAAATATGATTTGAAATATATATTTGTGTCTTTTTTTTCCTTCTCTTATCCAGAGCAGAAGTTAGACTAGGGAAGCCATAAGTGAAAGCCACTGACTTACACTTCTCCCTCCATTCCTACAGGCCTGAGGTGGTGATAGGCTAACTCTGAGCACAGCAGACTTAGCTAAATCTAGTTGGAACTGCCATCACAGTGGGGACACTCTATACAAAGTTTATGAACCTCACAATATAAGATCACCATCATATTAATCTGCTTAGGCTACTGTAGCAAAATACCATAAATTCATAGACTTAAACAGCAGACATTTAGTTTCTTACAGTTCTAGTGGCTAGAAGTCCCACATCACAGTCCAGTAGGGTCGGTTTCTGGTGAGGGCTCTCTTCATGGATCGCAGACAGCTGCCTTCTTGCTGTGTGTCTTCACATGGCCTTTCCTCAGTACAGTATGTATAGGTGGGAGGAGAGAGCACAAGCTTCCTGGTGTCTCTTCTGATGAGTACCTTAATTCTATCAGGTCAGGGCCCCAGCCAATGACCTTATTTAACCTTAACTAGTTTCTTAGAGGCCTCATCTCCTAATACAGCCACACTGGGTATTAGGGCTTCAGCATATGAATTTTGGAGGGACACTAACATTCAGAGTCCCAAGCTCCATAACAGCCACACTCTTATGTATTCTTAGCCAAAATCTAAAGTTTACTTTGGCTGTTTGGGACATATAATAGTGCTTTAACAGAAACCAAGTAAGGGTGGCTTAAGTGGGTACCTTACAGTTTGATTCTCTCTTGTAAATTCTGAGCTGATACATAGTCCTGAGGTCATCTGAGGACCCAATCCCTTCTCTCTTGTTGCTGTGCCATGAGCTGTTGACAGTGTTTGCATTGTCAGGTGCTGGTGCACTGACAGTGTACCACCTCTAGGCCATGGGAAGAAGGAAATAGAAGGAAGTAGCTTCCTTTTTAAGGACTTCACCTAAAGTGGTACACATCATCTCCGTTTGAATCCCAAAAAACAGTCTCTTGGCCACACCTAGCTGCAGAGGAGGCTGGGAAATGTAGCTGGGTAGCCATTTGCCCAAATCAAACCCTGGGGCTTTATTAACTTAAAGAAATAAAAAAGAAATGGATGCTGCTAGATTCGTTACAGTCTCTATGCACTTGAAATTTTATGTATTAGTGTCTTAGGACCAACTCACACATTCAGGTTTATAGGAACTAGTAAATGTCTTGTGTATGGCCCCACTTTGTCAAACTCTTTGGGAATTTCCTTTTATTTTAATAACTGGAAAACCAATATGCTTTGGGGAGTGTATTTTTTTTAACTTAAGAATATTAAAATCCATTTAGTCATAGTTACTTTTGTCAATGTAAAAGCTAAGTGTTGGTGCTCGCTTTGGCGGCACGTATACTGAAATTAGAACTACACAGAGAAGATTAGTGTGGCCCCTGTGCAAGGAGGACATGCAAATTCATGAAGTGTTCCATAATTTTTTAAGAATTTTTTTAAGTTTTATAAATAAATAAACATTGTATTATGATATCCTAAATGATTTGTTTCCTAATAAGACCTTTCTGCCTTAGTGAAAACCATCATGTGAAATATTGATTTTTATTTGCTAATAGAAAATATAAGTTAAAAACTGAGATGTTTATTCTCATGAAGGTGACATCACTAACAATATGAAGGAAATTCTGGTTGAATGTTCTTTCTTTCTTTCTTTCTTTCTTTCTTTCTTTTTTTTTTTTTTTGAGACGGAGTCTCTGTCTGTCACCCAGGCTGGAGTGCAGTGCTGCAGTCTCAGCTTACTGCAACCTCCGCCCCCCCAGGTTCTTGCAATTCTCCTGCCTCAGCCTCCCAAGTAGCTCAGACTATAGGCACGTGCCACCACACCTGGCTAATTTTTTTTGTATTTTAGTCGAGATGGGCTTTCACCGTGTTTCCCAGGCTGGTCTTGAACTCCTGAGCTCAGGCAGTCTGCCCACGTTGGCCTCCCAAAGTGCTGGGATTACAGGCATGAGCCACCTGGCCCAGCCTCTGATTGAATTTTCTAAGTACTTTTCTCTTTGGATTATCTCTCTCTTTCTCTTCTGTCATTAGTCTTAAAATATATAAATATCAGTATTTGCTATACCTAATGTTTACTGTGTAAGTATATATGTTAAATTTGTAAATCAAGCTGGGCATGGGGGCTCACACCTGTAATCCCCGTACTTTGGGAGGCCAAGGTGGGCAGGTCAAGAGATCAGGAGTTCGAGACCAGCCTGACCAACATGGTGAAACCCTGTCTCTACTTAAAATACAAAAATTAGCTGGGCATGGTAGCATGTACCTATAATCCCAGCTACTCAGGGCTGAAGCAGGAGAATTGCTTGAACATAAGAGGCAGAGGTTGCAGTGAGCTGAGATTGTGCCACTGCACTACAGCCTGGGAAACAGAGCAAGACTCAGTCTCAAAAAAAAAAAAAGTAAATTAAGGTTGAAGCACAAACCAGGTCACTCTTGTACATGTAATTGCCATAAAAGCTAGCAGTTTTCAAATATGTAAAAGCATAAACCTATTTTTATACAATTTTACTTAAAATTCCAATATAAAAAGCAGATAAAAACAAAACTACAATTCTATAGATTTATTTTGTAAATTAATTCAACTATGTGACATTTGCTTCTTATAGTGATAGTTAATAAAAACAATTAAGCTGCCTTGATAAATGTTCATTAGAAATTGGGATGTAATAGAAGGCCATTGCAGTTTTATAAGCTTAAGTATCCAATTTGCTTCTATATTTTGTTTGGGTTACATATTATTTTAAAAATTCTGAAAACGGTATATTTTTAGTAGCATCTCTCATCTTCAATTAAACTGATCTGACATATAAAAAATAAGTGAGGCCGGGCGCGGTGGCTCAAGCCTGTAATCCCAGCACTTTGGGAGGCCGAGGCGGGTGGATCACGAGGTCAACAGATCGAGACCATCCTGGTCAACATGGTGAAACCCCGTCTCTACTAAAAATTACAAAAAGTTAGCTGGGCACGGTGGCGCGTGCCTGTAATTCCAGCTACTCAGGAGGCTGAGGCAGGAGAATTGCCTGAACCCAGGGGACGGAGGTTGCGGTGAGCCGAGATTGCGCCATTGCACTCCAGCCTGGGTAACAACAGCGAAACTCCGTCTAAAAAAAAAAAAAAAAAAAAAAAAAAAAAAAAAATACGTGATAGAAAATTTTTGATTCACAGAATCTTATCACCTCTTCAGGCTTTTTGTTGTTGTTTCCCCAGAGATGGGATCTTGCTCTGTCACCCAGGCTGGGGTGCAGCAGCACGATCATCGCTTACTGAAGCTTCCAATTCCTAGGCTTAAGTAGTCCTCCTGCCTCAGCCTCCTCAGTAGCTGGAACACCACCACATCTAGCAATTTTTTCTTTAATTTTTTTATAAAGATGAGGCCTTGCTTTGTTGCTAAGGCTTCAAGCCATCCTCCTGCCTCAGCCTCTCAAAGTGTTGAGTTTACAGGCATGAGCCACTGTACACAGCCCTCTTCAAACTGTTAATAATAAATGTAAAAATCACACAAGAAACACTCAAAGAACTCAAGCATGGAATAAGTGCTAAAACTTTGTAATATAATCAGCATGTGACTCTATTATGGTAATTAAATTTCTTTAAAAAAATTCAGTTGAATATATTTTAACTTTGTAACTGTTATACTACATTATTGATTATCGGCCTCTCTTAGGAAGAATATGAAGAACTGCTTCGTTACGCTATGGTGACTCAGAATGTTGATTCCGGTGCTTCACAGTCATCTCATCCTAAGGCAGAAGTGGTGCCAGATGCCAGAATTTCTTCAGTTCATGATATTCTTCATAGTCAAGGTTATATATATTTTTCAAGTTATGTCTTAATTTAAGGTATTATTGAGTTTATTAATGATACTGACTTAGGATTGTGAAAATACCTGTCCAGGTCAGTGATTCTTCTCAACTATTTGTGTGTATTAATATCATCTAGGGGAGCTTTGTACATTTAATATGTTATTCCTGACTCTTGTATGACAGCTTGATTTTTCATTGAACGTCATTTGGCTGTTACTTTTATGAAGAATAATAAATTTGAAGCAACAATATAGCAACTGCATGGCTTTTAGGTATGTCATATCTCAGTACTTGTTCCAACAGTTTTATATCAGGATTAACTTGAAAACTAAATGCCCAAGCTAAAATTAAAGATGGTAGCCCTGAGAGTCCCTTAAATTACAAACCACATGCTACTTTATTAGCAGTGTTTATGTGGGCATGGAGGACTGTTTGGATAATTATCACAAAGGTGAACCTATCTATGGATCATGTTAGCAACAGAACTGAAAGCTACTACAAACCAGGATGTGTGTTGATAGATGAGTGAAAGATGGAGAAAGGAGGATGAAGCTCCTTTTACTTCCATTCCTTATTCAGGTAAAGACAGCATCCCAAACTCTAAATAAATGTTCTTTCAAAGGGCATAGAAAGCCTTCCTAAAACAGCCCTGATAAGGAGCAGCCATCACACTATAGGCGTAACTCCAAGGATCCCTGTCCTTGAAGGCACATGACATAGGCTACTCAGGCCAAAGGCTCCTGGGCTTCTGCAAAGTCATAGCCCTAGTGTCTGTTGTCTCACTCTTTGTAGACTGGATTTTTCACTGCTTCTTGGTCTTTGACCTATTGCAGTGGAACAACAAATGGGGCCACAGGACAAAAGCCTTAAAAATATAGGCCAGGCAGTGGCTCATGCTTGTAATACCAGCACTTTGAGAGGCTGAGGCAGGAGGATTGCTTGAGCCCGGAAGTTTGAGACAAGCCTGGTCAATATAACAAGACTCCACCTCTACAAAAAAATTAGCCAGGCATAGCAGCCTATAATCTCAGCATCTTGGAAGGCTGGGGTGGGAGAATTGCCTGAGTTCAGGAGTTTAAGGCTGCAGTGTGCCATGATTATGCCACTACACTTCAGCATGGGCAACAGAGCAAGACTCTGTCTAAAAAAAAAAAACTCTCATGATACTATAATCGAAAATAAAAGAATTTATTCCAGTGCTACACAAATTGTAGTGATCTTCAAGAGATATGAACCTTGGAGCTAATTCATTCTGCATCAGTGATCTTGAATTTGACTACATCCCTCAACAGGCAATTCCTGCTGAGCAAACTCAAAGCACTGTGTACTCTTCTATAAATTTAAATAGGGAAATCAGCATTGTAACCTTCATGTCTAAGGGGGTTACCAAAAGCTTGTTTCCTTTCCCACTACCAACAGTACTACTGTACTGTTGTTCCCAGTGACACAGCACGGGGGCCTTCCCTTGCTCCAAATCTTCAGCAGTTCAAGGTAATCACCTGGGATTTAAGACCACTATGTAAGATAGTACTCATTTATTTATTCTCTGACATTTCCAAAAAGTATTTCAGATTAAAACATACAATATATGGTAAGTTTAGATATCCTTTAGTCATTTTGATTCACAAGTAGACTTTGTTAAACTCTGTTATGTAAATTCATCATCACACCTTCTCTTTATTCTTGGTATCTCAGTTGCTTGGTATAAGGCATGTTATGTGGAAATTGGCAAAGTATATATACAAGCCTGTAACAGCCATTCTTGAGAGGTTTTTCCCAGTTCCCTTTTTGCCATCTGTTGACTACAGGCTCCTGGAGTGGAAGCAAGAAAGCCCTTGTTTGGGAGAGCCAGTGCCACTTTAGTTTGATTGCAGCTAGAGAAAAGGAGCAGGCCCCTGGAAATACTCAGTGTCATAAAGGAGCAGATCCTTTTCTAAGTTCTAATGTCATTCACCCACTTATTCTCTTAGTGTGAATTGAGTGCTATAGTAGACTACATTATCTCTCATCTGTATTTGGTGCATAAGATGGAGCTTATCAGTAGGTCTTTTTCAAGTCTCAGATTTTTATCTCTTCTTGTTCTTTGTTTTAGTGGTCCTACATCCACAGCATGTTGTACTTTATTTGGTCTAAAATCTTACTTATGTATTGCTACCTTCTTAAATCATGTATGATTAGACCTCTTATTTAAGAGTGGTTCAGTTTAATTTTAAAAAGCTTTCGTTTTGGCAGGAAGTAACTCTGAAGTAAGAGAACCTGCAATGGAAGTTGGAAAAGGATACGATTTTAATATTTCAAGTCATTCAAAGACGGATGGTATGATTTTTTCCTTGGCTTATTTGTATTGTACATTTTGCGGTTTAATGAATATTTTCTATGTAGTAAGAGAAATAATTTCAGCATATTACTTGTTGGCAGGATTTTAAAATGCTGTTGTTGCTAATTTAAATGATAATATTTTAAATAATTTTATAAGATCCGACAATAGTACAATTAAGATAGGTTAATGCATTATAGTGTGTAGTATCCTTTCTTAAAATTGCTAAGTTAGACGACAAATCTAACTTTTAAAAGATTTAATGGAATATTAGATGGTCTGGCCAATTCAAGTTTTTATGTAA